ATGCATCAAATTATTATATTATACTCCATAAATATGGGCATTTTGTGCCAATCAAAAATTTTTTTTAAAATATATGAAATTATTTTTTCTTCCTTATTAAAATTAGACCCTTTTGGGGCACAAATGAACACTGCAATTGTCATCTTGACAGCTCTTTAATACTTACAATATTAACATAACATTAATATCATGAGATTAGTTAAATAATATTAATGTAATTTAATGTTCTTAGAAGTGAGTCAACCAGTATTGTAATAAAAGGTTTGCTAATAACAAAATAATTATTTCCAAAGTGATTCAAGAGAAAATATCTCATTTTAACTATTGAGTGGTACTTTTTAGAATGCATAAAATAAAGGTTCTAAATATAATATAACCCTTTATACTATAAAACAGTCAGCTCTTTAGTGTCTACTATTCATCATATTTCTTATAGATCTAAAAGTGCTATTTTTAATATTATAATGACATTTTTGGCATTTTAGAACACTTGTTTTAATTTGGAGCTTCTAGTCTGAAGTGTTAGTTTTGTTTGCTTCTGATGTGTTGTGCTTTTTATTTTGCTTTACTTTTTCTCATTTGGCAGGATGAAATGGCTGGAATGCACATAACGAATGAACGGGATGCTGAGGTTGAAGCTTTTTAATTTGATGACAACTTTTCAGAGGAGACACCTTCATAAGATGTGTGTGCTGCTTGCTGGTGCTTTGCACATAGAGTTTATGTAGATTTGTTGCATGAAAATGTTCAAAAGTACTCACTGATCAAATGGAGAAAGGAACAAGAGGCTGAAAGAATAAAAAATTAAAACCAGGTAAGTGCCTGAATAATTCGAAGAATGATTAGTGTTTTTATTTTTTTTCTAAAGGCTTATCTGTCACTGCCAATTTAGGCAATTTCAGCATATAATCATAGTTGCAACTTGGAATAAAGGTCATATTGAACCTACTTCCAAAATGGCATTTTACTTTACGCATGAAAAAAGAAAAATGATTTTTTATGAATGCAATCTCCTCAGATTAAAATTAATTTCATATATCTAAAATTATGTCACAATGACATTTAGTACATAGAATTACAAAAGGATTTATTTTCTAAATTTAAGAATATTTTTATCCATGTATCTACAATCTGATATTAGATTTTTTTCTCTTCCAAAATAGATATTATTGTCTCTAAAACATGGCATACATTTCTAGATCTAGTTTCTACAGTCAAATTGGTTTTCCATTTAAATTTTTCTCTTTTTTGAACAGTACGTCATATCCGTACTTCACTCTGAGATGTGACCCAATTACTATGTATTTTGCTACCTGAAATTTTACTTCTTTTTTCAGCTGACAAAATAGTTAGCTATATGGCAAAAGGTAGCCACTCTATAGCTAAATATCATTGCAGAGATTGGCTTTACCCACTAACTCAATTCTAGTAAATTTATGTGAGTGACTAGACAACACATCTCACTATGTCTTTAGCAGGATACATTTCT